CACGGGAGGCTGGCGGACGTTCTTGCTTGGGGGCGGGTGTCAGGACTGCGGCGGGGGGGGGGGGAGGGGATGCCACGTCCGCCACTTGCTCTGACTCGCTGTAGCTGCAAGAGCTGGAGTCAGGTGCTTCTGTGGTCTGGGGTGGGGCCGCCGGAGAGCGGGGGTGCCGGCTTGGGGCGGGGGGGTAGGGGTGGATGGCTGTGGGGTTTCTTCTAGTTCGCCGAAACTGCCCACGGTTTCCAGGGGTATCAACAGGAAACCTTCCCGGATCACAGCGTGCACTTTGATCTTCCCCACCCGCAGGACAACTGCGTCCATAGGATGTATGCCCCGCGCGTGTGAGAGGCAGGAGCGGGAGCGCCCCTTGAGCCAAAATGGTTTGAGCCAAAATGGCTTGTATACTGATGTTAGTGATCAAAACATTGATGATATATATATTTATGTACCTTATGTAGGTCCACTGAAGTTTGGTTATATTCAATCATTTAAGGCAATAGCAGTGTTTCAGATGGTTTCCCACAGTGTCCTGGCATGTTTGATTTCCAAGCTGTGCTGCAACCGACATGACATGAGTGATTCAGGTGGTCTCCAACATGTTTTTGTATGTTTGGTTTTCAAGCTGCACTGCAGGCGACATGACATGAGTGATGCAGGTGAACTCCAACATGTTTTGGCATGTTTGTTTTGCAGCCTGAACTGCAAGCGGTGACGCCAGATGACATCCGGGAGTGAAGCGGCAGACCAGCTAGCAACGTCACAGGCCAAAAGAAGAACGCAATGCCTTGCTTGCAAAGGTAATGGTTGGTATCTTGTAATTTTCACCATGAAGATATGACAGAAGATATGCCAGGTAGAATGCCAGAAGATATGTCAGTAACAAAATGTATAAATGCCATGGTGGGGATCACTCGAAGTAAAGCATTGTTTATCTTTTTTTTTAAATCCGTCGAAATTTTGTGAACCAGGTCAAACACCCTTTTTATCGACCCATTTTAGGCCCAAATCAGAAACTCCATGAAATGACAAATCATTGATTTCACGATCATCCACGTCGGACCCCTTCAAACACTAAATTAATGTCAAACCCCACCCACAGGATGGACCAACATAGCACAACGCATTTTTTCTGCAATGTCTTAAGGTCCTATCATACGTTGGTTGAGTTCGCATTTAAAAAAAAACAAGTGTGCCACAGGGGGTTCCCAAGCTGCAAGGGTCTCATTTGGTTTTCTTGTGGCCTAGGTGGTGCACTTTTCCTCCTGATATCTTTCCAATTCGCGGTGGGCGTCTCATAATTTGTACGGGGATATTAAGGTCTCTGGCACCTCTATGTCTATGTCAGTTGAGGGCCATTTAGATTCTGTTCAATTTTTTTTTCTGCGGCTCAAGGCTGCGTAGTTTTGAGAAGATTTATTTTGCAACACTGTGTGTTTCCATTCTTGTAGCACTATCTGCCTCCTTTTGCGTGCCTTTTACGTGTCCATTTTGAACAACTATGCGCTGGCTAAATTGGTATCAAATTTAGAGTTTTCATGGCGCGGTCCCAAGCTACAAGGGTCTCATTTCGTTTTCTTGTGGCCTAGGTGATGTGGCAATTTTCTTGAAATTGAAGGGCAATATCATGTCAGACCCTCCCCCTGATATCTTTTCAATGTGCGGTGACTGTCTCATTTTTTCTGGTGAAATTGGGCGTTTATGACCGTTTGGACCCATTTAGATTTTGTGTTGATATGTGTTGATATTTTATTTTTCGGTGGTGCAGGTGCTGCAAAATTTCCCATAAGGTGATGAAAAATTGTAGAGAATATATTTACCCTATATTTAATTTTCAATTTCGCGCTTCCAATTTGAAAATCGGGTGTGTCAGGAACAGGAGAGAAATGAGTTGGAGCAGGAAGGTTGGCATGGTGCAATCGTAATGCTTCTCTCGGAAAATCACTCGGCTGATCAATCGGCATTTCTTGATTTGTGCGTGTCTCCTTCTGCTTCAATTCTCCTTTTCTTTCTCCTTTTCCTTCTCTTTTCTACTCACTCCAAATTTTATTCAAATTTCTTTCAAAATCAAATCGGCCGTTCTTATTCTTGTTCTCAAAAGTTGCCTTCGCTTACACTTCTCGGCTTGTCACTTCTCGATTTGTGCAGCTCAGTGCAAAGCAAATGACATGGGAATGCAAAATGCACAGCAAAATGCACTGCGCCCTTTTTTCACGGGTCTTGAGCCACAATTCGTGGCATGGTTGAAGTCATGACCAAACGTCAAGTTTTGAAGACTCTGTGGTTGAATCTGTCATCAAACGTCAAGCTTTGCAGAAACTGTCTGAACGACAGGCAAGAGGCAAAACACTCCTCCTCAAAAGCTGTGAAGTTCGGGAACTGATTTTTGATTGGTCAAAGCTTTGCCAGGACATTCAGTTTCTGCCGGGATTCTTCAAGCTTACATCGTTGCAACACTTTGGTCAAAGCATCTGAAGGGATGTCTGTGCCAGGAATGTGCTGAATGGCAAATCCTTCAGCATGGGCCTGGTCCCGGATGTAAGCACACCTCATGCCAAAGTGGCGTGTGCGAGTGGGCACCGTAGTGTTGGATCCCTTGACCAAATTGGCTACACAAGCAGCGTTGTCACTGCCGAGGAAAGTTTGTATTGGCTGGCCGAGAACTTTTTGCAGAAGGACCTTCACTGGAACACCAACCTGACAAGCAGAAGCTCCAGCATCGACTTCAGCTTCAAAGGCGCTCCAAGCAGTGAGAGCCTGTCTTTGAGATTTCCAAGACAGAATGTGGTCACCCCACTTGATTACCACTCCAGTGCGGCTACGGCTGGCTCCTGGGGCCAGGCTAGCATCTCCAAATAGCCACAGGGAATCATCAAAGCAAGACTCCGGGAAGCAAGGCGCAAAGAAGACACCATGGTTTCGAGTGCTGCTCAAATAGCGCCAAATGCCTTGACATAACTTCAGTGCAACTCCGGGATGGATAGCTGACAAGCAGGCCGCAGAGCCGACCGTGGCGGCGATGTCTGGGCGACTGCGCAGGGCAAGCCATTGCAAACACAAAACTTCACTCTGGGCTTTCCGCAAGACCTCAGTGTACTGCTGATCGCGGGTCATTGGCTCCAACGTTCCTTCTGGAACAGCAGGCAGTGAGGGACTGCCCTTCATGTGAAGCCAGCCTCGCTTGTTCAATTCTTGGATCAGCCAAGACGTTTGATGTAAAAGCACACCATTGTCGGGACACCTGCGGATCTTGACCCCCAAAAAGTTCAGCTCTTGCTGGACAGGGACGCTCTCGTCACCAACTGGGACGACTGATTCGCCACCAAGCGCGTGGCTGGCCAAGAAACCTTGACACTTCAAATCCCACAATGTTTTCAACTCAGCTCCTAAGGATACCAGCACTTCACGAGGTCCAACCAGCAAGCCATCATCCACATACATCATGAAAAGCCCAACACATTCTCCATCTTCCTGCAGAAGCCATGCGCCAGACTCTAGAGGCTGCATTACAACACTGCCAATGGAAGTGTTGACAACACGGTGGTCCAACATTCGATTTCTTTCTTCTTGCCATAATTTCGGCGCTTTTCGCAAACCATAGATTGCACGCAAAGCAAGCCACAGCACATGTGGAGCTATAAGGCCCATGCGGACCAGTGATGGAGGGGGCCGAATCAAAACTTTGTCATCACCGAGCTCAGCATTCAGGAAGGCGCAAGCAATATCCAACACCAGTGCAACCCATTCTGGGTGCCTCACCAACATGGAGATCAGGAGGCGCACAATTTCCTGTGATGGGTTTGCAGAAGAGTTCTCGAGCATGTGAGCCTGTGTATCTGCTTGGTAATTTCCACAAGCCACCAACCTCACCTTGGCCTTCCATGAGCTGTGAGCTACTGCAGAAGCGATTGATGCCGAAGCTTCACTTGGAGCAGGGTCCATCATCGGCTTCCGGGTAAGCACCAACTTGCTTGGAACAGGAATTGGCAGTTCTGACGTGGACGTCAAGCCAAAGAAGCCCTTTGCTTCTTCACGTGTGACTTCGCGAAGAACTTGTTTTTCCATCATGTTGTCCAGCTCTGCCTGAAGTCCATTGATCCACTTGGCTCTCTCCTCCTCAGAGGTGTCATCGCTCCACAAAACTGATTGGGGAACTGCTTCAGCTGAGGTGGCAATATCTCGGCTTTGTGCCTCTGTCTGATTCATATCTTCTTCCAAATCAAAGGGGAGAACATGGTAACGGATCCTCTCATCTTGGTTGGACATGTGACTTGAACTGTCGTTGGCCTTGACAGCCTTGCAGGCGAACTTTGGCTCGCCATGGTCTAAAGACAGGAGGTAGCCATGACCAAATTTGCAGAAATCACTCCAGGATGGCTCAGTGTTGCCCATCTGTTTCTTGACCAGTTCAAGAACGTCCCCAGCGCTAAGGTCTGGACCAGCTGTTCTTTCTTCAAAAGTCAGCTGTGGCTGCCCATCTGCTGGCTCATCCCAGCAGAGCTCTCCTGTGTTTGACACCCACTCCCTTTGGTCATCCTTGCTTTCAAGCCGCCATGTTTTTGCAGCGGTAGGCGCAACCAAGGGCATGCGGGTCTTGACAATCTGACCACGTTCGCCTGACGGGCGCTTCATCAGGACAAGGGCGCCATTGGGGATAGTTTCATCTTCGCAAAGGAAAACAGCTTCGTCCAATCTGCTGGTGAAATTGTCAGCAGCTACTTTCCTCACCAAAACTTTCTGGCCCACTTTGGGCAGAGCAGCTGGAATGGGCAATCCGAGGGCTCGCTGTCGAGCTATGAACACTCCATGTCTTGCAGCAAAAGGCCAAAAAACCAAAGGCAAACTTCCATGCAACAGACAGCGCGTGGCGTCATCTTTGACTTTCTGCACCATCCGTTCTGCAACGCCATTTGCTTCAGGCGAGTGCGATGCAGTGGTCGTCTTCCAGAGACCTAATGCATGAATCTGTTCTACCATTCTGTTGGCAGCGAATTCTCCCCCGCAATCTGAATGTACTCGGAAGTACACTGCTATGCCTCCAGTCATGGATGATATTTGAGCCATGATGGAAAGCAATGCTTGGAGTACAGTGGCAGACTCCTTGTTCGGCAAAGTTCGAAGAAAGGGTAGCACGGTGCCATTGGAAAGCCTCAGGGCTGTGACAAGCATGTAACGGTGACCATCCACACTGACAGGGTGTGGACCTGACAAGTCCATTGACAGCACTCCGTTAGAAATGCTTTCGGCTGCCAGTCTGCGGTGGGGTCTTCTGTACCCTTTTGACTTCAGACAAGTTTCACACTGCTTGTCGTAGAGCCCTTGCTCACAACGAGCCCTGAGCTGCTTCAAGGCTTCTTGTTCTGGTGTTGGAACATCATCGGGCAACGTCCCATCTTCCAGATCTCTCCCGTCATCCAATTCTTTGGCAGCAGGTGAAACTGCAGCCTTGCAGGTACTGCACTGACTGGAAGACGCACCCTCTTCTTGGATGCCTGTTTCGGGGACAGGGAAGCCAAGTGCAAGCAACTTCTTTCCAAAGGCATGCATCTCTTCCAAGTCAGATCTCTCTTTGGAAGAAATGGAAAAACCATCTGAGCTGCACACCGCAGGTCCCCGACCGGGAGAAGCAGTAGAACTAGGAGCCCTCTGCTCTGACGTAGAGGAGCTCGGCAAAGGACCTGGGTGCTCAGCGTGTGGCTCATGCAGATTAGCTGCTTGGCATGAAGTAGGCTTCCCTTTCCAAAGCTTAGCCAGCCTCCTCCTTAAGGGCTGGAAATCTGTCCAGCTGAGGTAAGGCAAACGGTTCTTGACCAAAACATCGACTTCGCGGATCTGTCCGTTCTCTTGGGGGACTTGCAGGACTGGGCTTCCACTTCTGCCATCCCAACAAAACTTGCAATGAAGGCCCACTGTGAGCCGCTCTAGAGGCACAATCCATTCTGCACATGTTTGTCCAGAAGCTGGTAAGACCAGCTCACCTTCCCTGGTTCTGTGAGCCGATACCGCTTGGCCATTTGCAAGTGCGACCTGTGTGCTGGACATGTTCTTCATCTGTCTTTGGAGCTCAGGGCGACATGGTCTGATCACTTCATTTGCGCCAGGGTCAATGAGGACCAGCGGCTTCTCCTCATCAGAAACCTTGCACGCTGAACTCTGAGTGGTCGCTGCCATCACCAAGGACCGAACCGAAGAAGCACGAGATTGGCTATCACCAGCGTTCTCGGCTGCAGCGGCCTTTGGATTGGACTCAGCAGCCTGCTTTGGCTTGGTCTCGCTGCTCCTTTTGGGAAAAGCCTTTGGAGCCAACTTTGGCTTTGGGGTTGCTTTTGGTGTCACATGGGGGTACTTGCATGCATCCCCGTGCCTGCAGCTGCCAAGCACAAAGAATCTGCAAGGAGACAAATGAGAGAATGCACACTGGTCGCCCTTCTTGCAGTTTCCACGTGCAAAAAACTGACAGAAACTGGGCGCTGCTGGCTTTGCTGCAGCTTTGGCCTCTGCTCGGAACACAGTTTCCAAGGTTCCTTGCCTGTTGAACTTTGTACGCTCATCTGTCTGGAGGATTCGAATTTCTTCTTCTACTTGTGCCAACATACTCTGAACTGCCGCATCTTGCGGCCTGCGGATCTCTGGTGCCATGCGGAGAGCCTGCAACTTGAAACTCAGTTGAAACTCAAAACCTCAGACTTTCCTTCAAGCTTCTGGAGAATGCCATCCATGGCTGACAACTTCTCATGCGGTGAAAGGGGCGGCAAGCCAAGAGTGGAAAGGCGCGACACCGCCAGTTGCCACCGCCGCAACACTTTGAAGGCCTCATCAAAGGTCTGGGAAATGGGCGGCGAACGAACCCACTGCTGCAAAGACTTCACTTCCTCCTTGCCGCCAGGGTTAAACACTTCCAACAAACAGACTAGCAGCTTCTGGCTGGTCACCTTGGCCCGGGTTGAGTATTCAAAAACGGGACGTTTCACTTCTTCTGGCAATGTCCTCGTCAGGACAATGCAAAACCGGCTCTCAAAGTCAGAGGGGAGATGCCCAGCGCATGTGGATGCAGACCACATGCCTTCATCCAGGTACTCATACGTTGAAAGCTTTCCCATCTGCCTTTGCTCATATGCATTTTCTGCCTGCTGAAATTTCTCTTGCAAGAAAAGAGCCCACCTCTGACCAACTGCATGTGCAATTGCCAGAAACTCAGCTTTCCACACGCTAAGTTGGAGTGCTCTTGTCCCGGATTCCCCAGGAGCAATCTCAAGCTTGGGTACGTCTTTCAGTGGTTTCCACACGCCATCCCTTTTGTAATCTACGCCATCGTCGACAGTTTGTTGGATCAAGGGCGCTGAAGACCGCGCAGGCTCTGTCTGCTTGCGCTGCTGAGACGTGGCCAAGCCAGGCGGCTTAAAGCCAGCAGGATCTTCACACTCCCACCATGTTTTGTCATCATCGTCATCATTTTGCCACTGTTCATCTTTTGAAGGTGTCAAAAGAAAGTGCTCTGGCTGAGCAGGTTTTGTAGTAGGCGACAAGTAGTTTGTTTCCACTTGCCCCTGCTGAGAGTTTGCAGGTCTGCAGAATGCGATGGTCCACGTAATTCATTCTGGCCATCGCTGCTTGGTGCCGATCTTCCAGCGTGCTGAAACGCAATTCAGCATGTTCATTGGCGCTCCGCGCGCTGACTGTCATGTCTTTCATGGATGTTCTGTGCTCATCCAGGGAGGCCTGCATCGCTGTCATTGCTTGCTGCATTGATGCCATAGCCGTTCCCATCCTGTCCAGAGTGCGCTCCAAGCTCTTTTGACGGTCTTCTTGTGACTTGAAGTATACCTGAAGTCTTTCAGCTAGTGCTTGTTCTCTTTGGATGTTTTCTATGAGCTGCTGCTCCAACATCTTCACACGGTCGCTGAGCCCTTGGGTGCTTGTGGCCACACTTTGTACAGCACCAGCAAGAATCTCAGTTCGACCTTTGACTTGGGAAGCTATCTCGCGGATAGCCGCTGACATCTCTACCCCTTCGTCCACCATCATTGGTTCAGAGGCTGCATTCGCAAGGTGTGCTAGCTGCTGTAGCAACTCAGGAGTCACTGTAACTTCTGACATTTCCACCCTTCGCACGTGCATTGGAAAAGGTGGGACTGGAGGTAAGCCGGAAGTGGTAGAGCCAGTGTTTGGGCTCATGACCTGAAAATCGGGCGCGTCAGGAACAGGAGAGAAATGAGTTGGAGCAGGAAGGTTGGCATGGTGCAATCGTAATGCTTCTCTCGGAAAATCACTCGGCTGATCAATCGGCATTTCTTGATTTGTGCGTGTCTCCTTCTGCTTCAATTCTCCTTTTCTTTCTCCTTTTCCTTCTCTTTTCTACTCACTCCAAATTCTATTCAAATTTCTTTCAAAATCAAATCGGCTGTTCTTATTCTTGTTCTCAAAAATTGCCTTCGCTTACGCTTCTCGGTTTGTCACTTCTCGATTTGCGCAGCTCAGTGCAAAGCAAATGACATGGGAATGCAAAACGCACAGCAAAATGCACTGCGCCCTTTTTTCACGGGTCTTGAGCCACAATTCGTGGCATGGTTGAAGTCATGACCAAACGTCAAGTTTTGAAGACTCTGTGGTTGAATCTGTCATCAAACGTCAAGCTTTGCAGAAACTGTCTGAACGACAGGCAAGAGGCAAAACACAATTTGGGAGCACCGTGCGCTTCCATTTTGGGAGCACTGTGGGTTTCTGGTATTCGCTGACATTTTTGTACCACTATGCGTTGGCTGAGTTAGTATCCGGTTTGAAGTGTTCCACAAGGGGGTTCCCAAACTACCAGGGTCTCATTTGATTTTATTGTAGCCTAGGTGATGCGTGGCAATAGTCCAGAAATCGAAGGGCAATATCATGTCAGACTCTCCCCCTGATATCTTTTCAATTTTGTAGGGAGGTAAGGTTCTCTGGCACTTTTGTTGGGACCTTGTGGATTTTGCATTCATATGTTATTTTCGTGTGGGTCAGGTCTCTAAAACTTTGACAAGGTTATCAAGATTTGCAAGGAACATTTAATTTTCAATTTTGCGTTTACATTTTGGGGGCACTATGTGTTTCCTTTTTGGGAGCACTGCGCGCTTCTATTTTAGTACCGTCATGCGCTACCTATCATTTTTGTACCACTATGCATTGGCTGAGTTAGTATCCGGTTTGAAGTGTTCCATAGGGGGTTCCCAAGCTACAAGGGTCTCATTTGGTTTTCTTATGGCCTAGGCGTGGCAATTGTCCAGAAATTGAGGGGCAATATTATGTCAAGCCCTGCCCTCAATATCCTGCGAACTTTGCGGTGGATGCCTATTAAATTTTCGGGGAAGATTAGGGTTTCGAACTGCTTATGTCAGTTGAGAGCCTTTCAAATTTTGTATTCATTCATATGTTCATATGTTTCTGTCATGTGGATCAAATTTATTTCCCTCTGACAAAGTTGTCACTATTTGGAAACAACATATTTAATTTTTAACTTTGCGCTTCCCATTTTGAGAGCACCGTGCGCTTCTATTTTGGGAGCACTGTGCGTTTCTATTTTGGTACCCTTATCCGCTTCCATTTTGGTACCGTTACGCGTCTCCACTTTTTTTTTGTACCACTATGCTGTTTTAAGTGTTCCACAAGAGATTCCCAAACTACACGGGTCTTATTTAGTTTTCTTCTGACGTGGGTGATGTGGCAATTTTCTTGAAATTGAAGGGCAACATCATGTCAAACCCTCCCCCCGATATCTTTTCAACTTGCCATGAGTGCCTGATAAAGTTGCATGGGGAAATTAAGGTCTCTGGCACCTTTATGTCACTTGAGGGCCATTTAGATTGGGGTTAATATTTAAGGTTTTTCGGGTTCAATGTTTGCATTCTTTCGACACGATTGTCAAGACTTGCAAAGAATATAATATATTTGATCTTCAATTTCGCGTTTCCATTTGGAAGCATTATACCTTGCCCATCTGATACCACTACGCGCTTACATTTTGGGAACACTCTTCGAAAACACACATCGTCCAAACGTCGGTTGAAATTGGTTCAAACGAATTATAATTTGCGGGGAAGCAGCACCGCATCCAGTCTCTGGTTTGTATTTTTGCGCCAAAGGAGCAATCAACAATCACAGTTACTAACACGTTTACAAATTAAACCTACATTATGAGCAGGTACATTCACATATGATCAAGCATTTGATTTCCCCAAGCGCAATGATAGTCTGAAATAATTTGAGCATTGGCTTAAAATTGCAAAACCGATCAAATTCATGAAACCACACGTCAGGTTACGTGACATAAAGTGTGATCGTAATTATTTAGCATTATTTAGCAAGCCCTGTTTTACGTTTAAACTTTAAAAAAAAAACGCAAGAAAAAATTCGGACCGAACTGGAATATTTCAGGCCCCAAACAAAAGGTTGAGATCGGTTCCACTTAGTGTTTTTTTCCTCGAGTACGATCTGAAACCCCTTTTTGGGAGAGGTCTGTTATATGTCCCTATCGGTGCTTGGTGGGAGGGGGGTGGGACCCCAGGTTGGTTTTTTTTTTTTTTTTTTTTTTTTTTGATGGGGTCCCCTGCAGTATGGTTTTCTTCCAAAATTCATCCGTCAATGTATACCCTCCGATTATTTTTTTTGTTACTAACATGGGAAATAATCCAGCACAATCCAGTTCAGGTCCCGCCCAGCTCAAAATGAAACAAACTACTTGAAGTACACGCTGTTAAAGTGGCCATAACACCAAGCTACTCAGGGACTTCCAGTACTGCACCACCCTTTGTTTAATTGAACAGTGCACAATGCATCCAAAGAAATGAAGTGCACAAGTTCCAAGTACATTCAACAAACAACAAATATAACGTAGTATAACAAATGAAAACAATGGTGTTACAAATTGGGAATGCCCAATGCCATTCCCATCATGTTCCACTTCTGATTCCAGATCCAACAATCGACACATATGAACAATCAATCATGCATTGTTTCCTATCTACCCCACCCCAGGTTTAATATCTCAAAAATAATTGTGACCAATCATTGGGCATTGACTGCAATCAATTTGATAACAGTTGAAATTAAACCATGAGGTGGGTCACATCTCAAAATTAAACCAACTCAACTTTCTTCAGAATCTTAAGGAGGTGGGTGGACCCCCTGTTTTCGTAAGATTTTTAAATTTAAAAATAAAAATAAACAATAATTCAGTGTCCACCTGGTTTAATTTAGCCAGTGCAAAGGATATTCTATTATTGTAGGAAAATGGTGGTATTACCGGGGTGCCAAGTCAGTATGAGATAATACGCAGCAGGTTTAAAGCGGCCTACTTTCTTGCATAGGGCCCCAGGCTTTAAAATGCACAGCAACAACGAAAACTGGTTCCCAAGCTCGTCCAAATTCGAAGACCCTCAAAAACGTCTCTTTAAAAGGTGCCCATTTTTTAATAGAAAATTTTAGAGTGAACCATTCTATAACAACAAAAAACGATTGCATTTTCATGCCCAATGAAACTCAATGGTTCCATTTTGCAACAAAATATTCCAAACACGCCCTTTTTGGCAATAAAATAGCATTGAATGTTAACATGTTACAAATCATCAGGATTTCCCTGGCCAATAGGTTGCTCAGACCAACCCTTTAACAATAAAATGACTATCCTGACTCCAATTTTGAACCTCCAATACGTTACGGATGCCGCTAAGGCTATGCACAAGTCATCAATTTTTAGTTTGGAAATTGCCACGAAGATATGGCACTTGGATATATGTTGGGGTTTGGAATCATCCGGTTGTCGGGCTTAATATAACCGGCGAAGATTCCAGACCACACCTCCCGGAGTACCTTTAGTATATGACTCCAGACCCTATGGTAGTGGGGGAAAGCTACATAGGTATATCACGAATCCTCGGGAGCATTATCCCGCTGGTCGAAACATGTTAATTGCCCTCGCCCATGTCAGTCGCACCACGCTTCTGAGGAGTTTGTCATCAAGGCCCCGTGGCCTATCATATGCTAATTTATGCCGTGCACGGCCATCATCTTGGAGACACTTACGAGTTCCAGCTCAGTTTGGGCATGCACGGACCCGAACCCCATCGCAAGTTCCAGCTCAATCTGGGCACGCGCGGGCCTGAACCCTATGGCGAGTTCCAGCTCAGTCTGGGCACACACGGGCCCGAACACATGCCAAAAAAAATGTGATATAAATAGAATGATGACATTGCAAAATACACGAAATAGATGCCACACAAACAAGGCCAGAATAGATACCAAATAGAATGCCGGAAACTTTACGAGCGGAGGTACCCAGTACCAAATAGAACGCCAGAAAAAAATCGAATAGAATGACCAAAAAAAGTGCCAGATACAATGCCAGAAAAAAAAAATGAGTTTCAAAATATATGTCAGATAGAATGCCAAATAGCCAACTAGGATGTCAAGCAGAATGCAAGATGAAATGCTAGATAAAATGCCAAGATGTAATGTCAAATAATAATGTCAATGAAAACGCCACCCCAAATGCCAGAAAAATGTACTCTAAATGTAAAATGAAACATCAAACAAGATGCCAAAATAAAATGTCAGATAAAATGTACAAATATTTGCCAGATAGAATGCCAGAAAGAATGTCACAATTCATGTCAAAATATGTGCCACATAGTTGTCAGAATATCTGCTAGATACACTGGCCAGTATATGCCAGATAGGATGTCAGAATATCTGCTCAATAGAATAAAATGACAGTTGGTCGGGATCACTCGAACAAAGTAATTGTTTGAATATCGTTTGTAATTATATATATGATTGCCTCGACAATTTGGAGCCTCTTGCCCAGGCAATTTTTGTTACATGGTCTTATCTTGTTAATTTGTCGTAAATGAACGTAAATGAACGTAAATTAACGTAAATGAACGTAAATGCGGTTTCTACGCGTCAGATGGTTCAGATCAGGGAGTGTTCAGTTTGAATTCTAAAGGTGCCAACGTCTAAGCTAAACAGGGCACATTGCATACAACCTTTTCAACTTTCCTGACCAGGTTCCTAGTTTTACATTGTGCAGTTCAGCCGTCATATTATGTTTGATCCCAAATCCGGTTGCCACACATAAAGCTAGTTCGAAAACCTAATCGAGTTGGTTCGTTCACGAAGACCTTGGTAAAGTGGGTCACGGAAGAGCTGGAACGTGCCCCAAACCATCCCAAACCAGTTGAGCTGAAAAAAAAAAACTGTATGTGAATCCTGATCCCAAAAGTGAATCATGTGATTTCCAAGCGGCGGTCTTCATATTTATGTCTCGGCGCTTGGTTTTGAACTGTTTGAACTAGAGCTTGTTGCATCTACATCAGAGCTGCTTTCAGCTACATCATACCCGTAGAGAAAGTTTCGTTCAGCAGTTTCAGGGAACAGCATCTTTTTCACAATCCCACGGCGGGGCCATTTTAAAACATGGCAGAAAAGTTTGGCAGTGTTACTGGGAAAATTAACCCATCTGATGGCCCATCTGTGGAACAGATTGCTATCAGGTCAATGGCTTGGAACGCAACGCGCATGGGATGAATGGTTTGCGGTCTCCGGGACTGGTCATTCGTTCAGAGGTCGTTCAGAGGTCGTTCTGAGGCCGTTTGGGAGCCGAGAAAAATGGCTAAATAATGACCCTTGAATACACGTGCATTGGTGGCACAGCACGGGGAAGAGTCTTGGGTTCGTAAAGACATGGTTCTAGAGGGAAACCGCTCAGGCTAGGGTCTCGTTGCAGAGATTACAAAGACCGTGCCAGATGCAATTTGCCAGCCCCAAAAAATGCATTTAGGGTGGTTCCGGGTGTAATTTGGCTGCTGATTTATTCTAAATGCATCTAGACCTGTGTATAAATATATGTAAATATATACTTATATATATATAACATATATATTATATACGTATAATTAGGAGGACGTTCCAATGTCGTTCTGGATGTCGTTCAGAGGGTCGTTCCCCAACTAAATGGCACATTCCAAAATTACCAAAAACATCAGAAATAGCTGCGGCGGTGCCTGGAATTCTGAACGAAGGATCGCACAATACTACTATAAATCAACCCCTTTTTTTTGGCTCAGTTGTAGGTTGGCAACGGATGGTAATTAACGGTGAATCCGGCGGTGCGGCGCACATAGCATTCCGTTCACAAGCTACGGACCACGCCATGAAAACCAATTCGGCCTGAGATCTCACACATTTCATCCAATCGCCTGCATCGCGAATGTGAGCCAGCATTTGTCGCAAACGCCAATGCTCTCATTTGAAAAATGTGTAAAACAGTTTCCATTTCTGCGTGGCATTCTCTGAAATTCGGCGGTTCGGGTGATCTCGCCCCTTTGTCCCACCCTTCGTTGAATTGAAAAAGGCGGGCTACCATCAACGCACACCTGTAATCCTTCTTGAACAAAGGCCACAAAATCCTGGCGTTAATTGCAAACCTAGACATACCGAGCAATACCGGGGAAAAACACGTTGTGTTCGCAGATTCCGTTGCCATAGCTGCAAAATGCTGCAAATATATGCTTGACAATCTCGTTGCTCTTCATTTTTCATCTTACAAGTTTCGTAGAGGCTGAGAAAAAGCAGCTGCTGAGCAACCACAACATTTCAACCCACCGTGGCTTTGCAGGAAGGCAGGCACAGTATGCAGGCCCCCAGTAAAAGCAGGCTAGTATTAGATGCAACACCATTGAGCATTTCAATGTGCAACATTTTTTCTGTGGCAGGAAAAAAACACCAAGAATAACCAACATAGGTAGGACCCAAAAGAAACAAGATGACACCCAAATATAACCAATAACACATTATACTTCAGCAAAGAAACATAGTCACGTTCAACTCCTTTCGCTTGCGGCGCTGAAAAAAAACTTATACTTGTGCTGTCAGAGTCAGAGGTTCTGTTGATGTCAACGCTAGCCATTCCAAAGGACATATTTGACTTAGACCATTTCCTGTAAATTGTTTTAAAGGCAATAAGAGAATCTTTTACAACTGAGGTTTGAAGCCTCCCTGATCCGTACACTCAAAAATCATCAAGGATTGCGCGAAACTTGGCGTGCAGCAACTTTGCTGATATCATTACTGTTACGGCAGATCCGGCATATGATTCTTGAAAGGTGGCCGTTGGTCTCCAAGTGGAGGTGTCAGTTTTGTTGTTGTCTTCTTTTTTTCGCGGGCAACATTGAAAATGGTTGGTTTCTGGCGCTGGGTCAATCCATTTGTGAGCATGGAAACCACAGGATCAGCTCATATAGCATCTTAAGATATCTAAAGTATTCAGCACGACCACCATCAACGTCACATCTTCGCCGATTGTGACTCCAAACTGCCCTGCTGCCCGCGCCATCCATGTGCCGCCGACGTAGGACGCAAGAAATTCTTCGAAATATGCCTAAAGATCCTGCAACAGTGTGCAGGAGGTGTTAATCGCGTTAACGGTTGTTTTCATAGGATCATGCGGCATGCGGTAATTATTGAATCGAGGCACTTGAGGTCTTTGAACTCATTCAAACCACAGTGGCCATGTCCTTCCTCAATCAACTCTTTGTGCGAACTAGTGTCTTAAAAAAACAATTACTAATTAAGCATAATTGATTAAGCTATAAAATCCGGGGCCCCATAGTGCGCATAGCCCTTTTCTTGGCCAAGGTGCATGCATGTAAAATTTATTAAAAGTTTCGGTATCCGGTTTCGGGTGGCGCGCGTTTCTTTTGCCCTTGCCCGAACTTGGAACTTACGTTTCACGATCTTCATCCTCCAATACATGAGTGCATAAATGCATCAACATATGAAAAGGACAGGAAACACAAGAAAAACATAGAAAAACAAAGTCATCACTATGCTTGCCATGGGCAAAAAACCCTGGACTTGGACCCAACCGATTTAGCATCGGTTCCACAAGATGCCTAAAAGTGGTCGAGATCACATTATGTACTGTACATCATTCAGACGAGTGTAAGAGTTTTGAGACAAAGTATGTAGGATTTCAGGGTACGTCGTTTTCATCTCATTCAAACCATCCTCCGTACAACTTTGGTACAAAATGGTACAAAATGGTACAAAATGTTACAAAATGGTACAAATATCATCAACTATCGACGTAGTTTTGCGTTCTGTATGATCATTTCTGCTCATTCTATGGCTTTGCTTCGTTCACTTGCGTTTGGTCGCCCAAAGTCAAGCGTTCTCAGTTCAGAGCAACCGAGAAATGGCATCCTAATCCACGCCCTTGGGATCCATATTGTTTACCTTTGGGCAGATTCCTTTGGCACTCATGAATCAGATATTCAATGTCTTTTCACAGCTGTTTTGTTCGGTTGTTGTTTCACCATCGTCTGTTGCGAGACTGCAGCCTTTCGTCAGGCAAGCGCGCGTTTACCTCTTAAGAATTTCGCGCACACATTCGGCGGAACGTTGAGTGCCGCAGCGTTGTTGCAGTGCGCTTCTTCGAATTTGGCGTTCCGGGAAATCGCTGGAAACAGTGTGCAGTGTTTCAATCTCTCCCTGACTTGTTCCGGCAGCCCCTGTCATGATTCGTGGGTAAACATCGCAAGCAGGACGGGCTAAACAACGAAGACCAAACACACCAACGACATCTCAAGTGTATGTGGAAGCGGCTTGTTTTGGCACTGCACCCTTGCAGCAAGGTCGTCTCGCATACAGCAACACTGTTACGAGTTCCACGCCTCAAGACGCCCTCTCCGGCAAACAAATTTCGGGATTCAACCTGATATGTCTTTGCTTTGACACTTCCAGCCGTTGCTGGTTGTTTTCTCCACTACCACTCCCAGCACTTCTGTTTTTCTTCCGATGTTGGCGTGGTGTCGGAAGCAATGGAAGCAACGCACACACTCTCAGTGCTCACGTCGCTGCCGTGCATTAACGAGGGTGCACCGGCATTTCCGAGAAGCACCGAAGAAATCCGAATAAGCTGCGCTGACTTTGCTCACGCATACCCAATTTGGCATTCTCTTTGCATGCCACTGCAGGTTCCGAAAAACAGATCACTTTCCGAGCTTTACAAACCTGCTTTCACAATATCTAAAACGCTAAACTGTTCCGTCACTGTCACTGGAGCTACTTTCTCTACTTTCGTCCTGCGCACAGGTTCTTGGTGAAATTGCTTCGTGAAAATGTCTGGGGGTTCGCATAGGGCATACCTATAGTTCTTTTATGTCCTTTTCAATGGGAGTTTTTGACCGGTGTTGACCATGTTTGACCCACGGATGTGTTGCGCCTCACAAGCAATTCTCATCCGCTGGAATCGCGGATGACCAAGCGGACGCTTGCAGAGCTTCTCACAACAAAAGACCTCGGCAATCCAGTTTTCATATGGAAAAGGAATGAAAACTGGTTATATCTGGTTATATCTGGTTATATCATGTTATATCTGGTTATATCTGGCTATATCTGGTGATTATATCCAAACTACTATCCGGAGATGATGTTCAAAATCTTCCCAAAAAAAAAGGAGCTGAATACATCTGAATACATTAGAGATTCTTGCCATCGCATCACACCAAGCCATGGATTTCCCTCCCCAGATCTCCCAAGACCCGAGACACCATGTGATATCTGAAGATGGCCGCCATGTCTGGGCACCCCTGGGCACCCGGCAATGACCGCAATGATAAAGCATGCAACTCCTGCATAGAAGAGAAAAGAGCCTCAGTGGCCCCAGCACCATGACTCGACAGTCGATGTTGGATCACACGAAAGCTGGGGATCTTGGCAGAGATTGGGAAACCAATAGACTACAATGGACCCATAAAAGTTTATTATTCATATGAAATCATTGATTTTTTAGGTTGATAATTTCGACGCATAAAATCCCTGCAGCCTGATTTCAGGAACAGACTAAGCACTTGAGAGTCACCTCCAAGACCACTTGGGCTTATCATGACCTTGCAACCAAGAATTCAACAGAGCTGTTGAGGTAATGATGGTGGATCAGAGTGTATCAGGTTCATCCGATTTCATCCGCATCCGAGCACCCCACCAGCTTCTTCTGTACATCCATGTTCGAAGCTGGAAATCTGCCGGTGGTTTTCAAAAATCCGGAAATCCATTCCAACAACAAACAACATCAAACAACCAATATGTGTGTGTGTGTGCCTGAAAATAGGGCTCCAGTGGTTCATGATCATTTTCCTCATTCAAATATGGTATCGCCCATTTTCAAACACATCCATCCCATCTCAAGGCCGAAAATATCAACAGCCCACAGGACCTCAAGTCAATCTCTACCAGGACAGTCTGGCCCTTGCTCAAAGGCTCATCTAATTGGCCAAGGCCCTTCAGCAAGCTGGGCAGTGCTGCTGGCCTGCTGCAACCAATATCACAACTGCAGGAAATGGATGGACATGGTAGAAAATGGCAACCTTTTCAAGAATACTCACATAACTCACATATATGATAAGGTTTCTGGCACCCGAATTTGCTGCCTCATCCAGTCAACAAAGCGCTGATTCCTGACCCCCTCGGTCACAGAAATGACCTGGCGGGTCAAAGTCAATAAAAAAACCATGGGAATTCCACTGCTTTCTCGAAAGCATGCCTCAGGATATCGCTTGTAGAGCCAATCCTCATTGCTTCGCACAAAGGCGGCTGCAAGAGTTACTCATTCAGCCGATCCCGAGATGCCGACAACAACAACACCCGGGAGCGTGTTGGGATAGTCGGGTGGGTTCTTCATCCTGCCACCAAGGTCCAATCTGCTCAAGACATGGGTGTATGGTGTACCTCCCTCTTCAAGTTATTCAAGTCATACATAGTCATACATAGTCATACATAGTCATACATAGTCATACATAGTCATACATAGTCATACATAGTCATACTACCATCAAGTTTCCCATTGAAATATAGAAGAAATATGAAGAAATGTTGAGCAAATGTTGCGGTTAGCTCCTCTCGAGATCGTCCGGTGAGGCGATGTGATCCTGGTTTATCACCAAGTCCTGCAGCGGCAAAAATGGGATCAGCTACTTCTGTGGGAAAAATGGGGACTTGTCCTGGCCATCAGCTTTCTTCAGCCTGAAACTCAGCTGGGAAAGAAACTCTGTGCCCTTTCTGAAAGCATCATGAAGAGCGAAATGATATGAAATGAGTTGTTTTGCCACCTGAAGACATCGTTGAAGAAGCTGCAAGCCTGCCGGATACTTCAGATACTTCAGCCAGGTTTCAAAACTCTCAAGTGGGGAAGGGTCAAGATTGGATAACTGAAAGGAGTGGGTTCATACAAGAAACTTCGAACATCTTTCAAGTGGTGTGTATCTGACTGTCAAACCGTCGTCACCAACAATATCCTTTGAGTCTACCTTGATAGCTGGAACAGCGATCACGGTCTAGACCACGATTTTTTGCACGAAGGAAAATCACTTTTTAAAAAAGTTTGCCCCAAATATAACGACGTCCTTTTTTGACTGTTACAGAAAAATCGCCAGGTAGAAAATATCCGCGTCTATGCTATAATACCTGTGGGCTAGGAACAAATCAGTTTCAAGAAAGGCGCAAACCACTGTGTGCCTGTGGCTTTTCCCACCAAGAAATGAACTAATTCTTGAGTATGATTGGGCGGATTCTATTGTAATTATTGTATCATAATCGATGATCTAGAATTGGCACTCAATCTTGGGAAGAATACCTCCCTTCAATTTGGGTGTCTGAAAATAGGGTACATCCATTTTGTTCATGTTTGTTCATCACGTTTCCTTGTTACAATTGATATGTTGGCTGGCAATACCTCCCATTTTGCAGACACATCGCAAATATGGTAAATATATGTAAATATTGGTTGTTCAAGGATTTTATCAATCCCACTATAGTCCCCATTAAACGATGTGCTTTATGCTTTATATGTTGCATAGTTATAGCCACCGTTTTTGTTGCGAAACCACCCTACCTGCAGGCCGCAAGGATCCAGAATTGCCCCTGAAGGCGCTAGGCGTGTTGCCTCCACGGGGCACTGCCTCGAAGCGGATTAAAGTGCTCCATGTGATGGGGGCATTTCTGGAGAAATCTCTGGAAAGCCATGGGTTTTCTCATGTTTTTCCGCTGAAATTTAAGGGTTTCCTTGCAGATTCTGAAAAATTCCCGGAATTCGATGTCTTCGTCATGTTTGATAAAGGGCTTCTCCAATGGTGAAAAACTATACCCCAAGTGTCGGAAGCACAAATCTGCTGTTTGGATCTGTGGGGGGGCTGAAACTTTAAGCCATACCTGCTGGTGGGATATCTGTTACATGTGGTCGGATTTGCTATTTGAAACCAGTTGATGGATATGGGTGTGTCTCACGATGTGGAATCCCCAAATTGCGATTGATAAATTCTGGTGAATTTCATGGCGAACGGTAAGGTTTTCGTCTAACCAATTGACCAATTGTGAAACAAACCTGGTTCCCAATGACAAGGACTCAAAAATCCACTTGCTGACCTATATGTTTTGTTTGGATTCTTAGCATCCTATACCCCCAGTTCTGAGCTATTCTTAATCCATGCTGCTGGCTGATATACTATACTGACTATCACATTTACTCACCACTCACACATGTTTGTCTCGAAATAGGGTATACCACAATTGTTTGTTGAAAAAGTGGTGATTTATGCCACATCACTCACTTGATGTACCTTCTGGTAAACGTTTAACTATGGAAAATCATCATGCTATTAATGGGTAAATCCACTATTTCGACTGGGCCATGTTCAATAGCTATGTGGCTACCAGGCCGGGCAACCAGATCCCAGCGATTTTCCAACGCCGAAACTCCGAAACGGGTCCCATGTTTCGGCCCTGAGTTCCCGCGGCTTCTCCAGATCTCCACCCTGCAAAAACTCACCTCCGCAAGGGTCAGGATTTTCGGGCATGGCATGGCATGGGAAAGGATCATGGGTCCCATGGAGGAATCATTTTCCCAATTGAAACTCTATAAAACATGGGTGTGTCTGAAAATAGTGTACCCCTAAACCCAATGGTTTTGCTGATCATTATCCCTATTAAATGGCTATAATTGGGAATATACCCTATTTTCAGACAAACCCACATAGTGATTGTTTGGGGGGTATCCAAACCTGACCACCCCAGAGTATCAAATTGCTATGGCTCAAAGTTGTGGTAGCTGTACAAGTTTGGACAGCAACAAATTTTGTCATGTTTAGTTGAGCGTTAAACCCTGCGGGTTTACTTTGGGGGACTTTTGAGCCATATACATACCATGGCGTGCAATCTGGGATATTCAGCAGCACTCATGGGGTAACATCAATTTTGAATCATCTTTCCTAGTCAGCGGTGGAAAATAGATACTGCATGAAAGAGCGAGCCAGATGCTGAAATTTGTCCTGACTGTAGAATCTAATTTAGAGGAGTTTACAGGACATCCCTTGAACATCCTTGAACTATTTACTGTAGATTATATACTGTAGATCTAGCCCTCGGCCCAAGTCTTTCCAGTAGTGGGGCCGATTACGACAGATGCTTGGGAGATCGTTTCAACATGGCATGGTTTCATTTCCTTGTTTGCTCCGTCCTTGCCTATCCTTGGACATGACTTCGGATGCTGTGCATCGCCTGATGCTACCAAGCCAGAGAGCATTGCAGATCATGGCTGCCGTTGATCTTCCACAGGATGAGGGCACCAACAAGATTGCTCCACGAGCACCATGTGGCCTTACTATCCACTGCATGGTCTTCAATGTCTTCGTTCATCTCTGTCTTTGGACTGGATGCGACGTGCATCTTCCAGGTAGGGAGCCTAGCTGTCCTGACCAATGCGCCATCATCACACGCATGGTTTTGCAACAGCCTAATGGCCAACATGGAGCGCCTAGCTTAGTGGCATGGATGATCTTTGTTGCGGATATTTTACTGGAACTTTTTTCTGGCACTATCTCCATTGCTTCCAGCTTCGTGGATGGCCCAGTCTGCGCAACAGATGTACAACAGAGTGCACCCTTGTGGCTGTGGCATTCATTCGCTTCCTGCCGATGGGTTTCCTTCGTGCACGGCCAGCCCGGCAGACAGCGCTTGCTAGCTGTTTGGGCTAAACATTGTACGGGGCAGGCAGCACCTATATGCTCCTACAGGCTTCATGGTCGGCTGGAGGAAGAACAAGCACATGGCTGGTGTGATTTAGTTCTGATTAGGTTGGCGGCTCAACCTTTACAACTTTGTTGGCTACTGCCTTTCACTGCGCAACGTTTAGGGAGGCCAGACCTTTTGTTCCATGAGCCCACCGGCACAATATAGACAAGTCTGAAATCAGGATGTTGCCCACGCACGGCTTGAGCCACTCGGGGCACACTGCACATTGGTGTGCTTTTCCCGTTGTGTTGCAATATCTCTGATGCACTTCGCTGGCACCAGTCTAGCATCAGATTTGCATCAACTTGCAACGTTTTGATTTTCAAGCGGCCGTCTGAGCACACAGTCTCACGCTGCTTCATGTCCAGTCAAATGTAGATAATGATTGCCCACACAGTTTGCGGCTTATTCATGGGTGGCAGCCGAGGGCGAACTCTTTCGGTTGCCAGTGAGGTGAGTGGTTCGCAAGTTGTTTGGAAGGCCGCATCAGTCGGCGTGAACCGTGTTGCGCCGCACTGCTACCGCCGTGCGTGCATCACGTAGAAGTAGTCCGAGCTATATACTGTAGATCTTTCCAAGGACCCCAAGGACCCCAAAGTGCACGAGGATTGTGTTATCTGCTTAAAACGGACTATCAACTGGGCGAATTTAAGACACTGAGGCACCCTAGATTTTGCTCATCATAAATCCATCATAAATCCCATTTGGGATCGTCTTACACCACCTTAAAACAAAGCTGGTAAATTCTCTGGGATGATTTATACCATACCCCAATGATCCCAGAAAATCCCAGAAATGGATTCCGACCCAAAAAAACAAAACTGGCCTGTCAACTGCGGCCAGGCCCCTTTCCTACTACCTGGCGACGTCCAAGTTCTGAGTTCCATTGCCTTTACATATTTTTCATGTCGTGACAATGTCAATCTCGGCCAATTCTAGTGAAACGCTGGCAGCTTCGAAAGTTCAAGAAATTCTCCGCTGAAGTGGCCTGACAGGATGTAGTTGGGATAGTTCTGGTAGAACCTCGGACATTTCGAAAGACAACTGCAGCATCACCAAGTCTGTCTGCATTCAGCTTGACACGGGTTTAAGTTGTACATCAGCTTGATGGGAGCTGGCATGTCCTGCGGCAAGAAAAACCCCACACTTGGCTGCGAATTAAATTCTAGTTGTTTGAGGGATGTGAAAATCGCCCCCCATACCGGAAAATCATAGGTGAGTTCGCCCACAAATGGGTATACCGGCATATTTCCTAACAGTATCACAATGACAATTTCAACATATTTCCACTAAGTTCAATGGTGGTACTGTAAATGATGATTCAACCGCTAGTTTTTCTGGGTTTCCTTTAAATGTTCAAACAAACCCAGGTGTTGACCCCCGTCCTCAGGTATAACCACTTCTAGCCTACAGGTTTTGCCTTCGCAAGGTGCATGAAGCACCTCAGGGCTCAAAGTTATGGCATCTTAAGCCCCTTTTTTGTGCCGTTTCTTCCACAAAACCAGCACTGTCCAATATCATCAGTTCAAGATAATTCAGGTATCAAAAGTTGTCAAATCATGCTGAGATTTTTGTCAAGCGCGATTCAAATGGGTTTTTTTCTCACCAAAAAATTCCAAGGACTTCAACCGACTTCAACCACCGGTGTTTTCTTCCCACCAACTTCTGAGTTGTTCGGACCGTTGCAAGCTGCACAGCGACCACCGGGACCACGGGAACTGTGGAGTTGTAATGGATGGAGATCTGCCAGTGGCCACGTGGTTGTTTCGTCTAGGTATGGGGCGCGGTCCCAATTATCGCGTACATATATATATATATATGTGTGTGTATTAAATGTATGTCTGTCTGTCTATCTGTCTGTCCGTCCGTCTGTCTGTATGTATGTATGTATGTAATTATGGATGTAATTATGTACTTATGTAAGTATATGTATATGTAATATATATATATATATATACATAGAGACATATATATATATATAGACATATATCCGCCGACCCCTCCCAACAGCAAAGGGGAACGCGTCAGAGAAGGGGTTACAAGCAGCAAATGCCCACAAAGATTTGGAGAGAACGGAAACAGAAGAAGAAAAAAGGAATAATAATAATAATAAGAAGAAGAAGAAGAGGAAGACGACGACGACGCTGCAAGCGCCGACAAAAAAGTTCAAAAGAACGGTATGTATATATAGATATGTATAATTATATAATAATCAAATTGTAGGGGTCATGTTCCACCTTGTGGTAGTTCTTACCATGATTCCCGCCTGGGGTTACAATGCCCGACGTTTTGAAATCACAGCGGGCCATCCCAGGAATGGTGGCCAGCCACTCCTGCTACGTCCGTATGATTTCAAAACGTCTTTCCAGGTAGGACGCTGGTTGCAGCTAAGCAGCCTAACCCCCAGATGGCGGAAGGGAAGGCTCGCCCTCCTCCTCCTCTTTGTCCTCTTCATCTGCCAGCGCGCGCGCCTGGTCGGACCTGCCGGGCGGCAATCCCACCTTGGACACGTTTGAAGTGATAGACCCGTGAAAAGGGGCATGTCTTACTTGTGGATATTGAACTTAAGGTAGTTAAGAAGTTACGACGGGTTATGTTACTCCAAGTAGCTACTCTTATACGACACCCCGACATCCCTTGATGCTATTCGGGACATCGTTTACAACTACGTGGAAAACATATTGCTAGACGGTACAATCCTGGGGGGGAAGTTGAAGGAGGACGCACAGGTTCTGGGCGCCTCAGCTTCCGTTTGCGGTGCTCCTCGTCCAGGCACGCGGCTTCTTGGCCCTTGGCCCCTGCGCGTTGCCACACTGAATCCCATAGAGGGGGTACATGTTCATGTCTCATTCCTTCACTCGGAGAAGGGAAGCACCTACATTGATAGCTGGCGAGCTCGCACGCCATTTCGTTGTCCAGCCGATATGATCCATTCCTTCTATGCTCATCTCTTTAAACCCATATTTGTCTCTAGAAACATATGCGGTACATCCATGAAATTTTATGTGTGCAGGGGCCAACTACCTATGCAGTCACTTATACATGCATCCATCCATGCACCCATGAAATCATCGATGCGGCAATCAAGCCAACCATCAGCCAACCATGCGTCCGCTCAGCTGACGATCCTCGATGGCATACAGACGCCCCACCGCGCCTGCGCTTTTGCAGCCTGCGAGGTGCTGCCGCTCGGCGCTCCGCTTCCGCCCGGTACTGCTGCCGGCAGTCCGTATGCGTGCGGATAACGCCGTCTTTTCTCGTGGGCAGCTTCGCCCTCACCTGTCGAGCCGTGATTATGCAACGGACTGTGGCTGCGCGGAAGGGGATAAAAAAATGCAGAGGACATGGTACTGCGTTGAAAAAAACAACCCTGTCGTAGAAAATAGTTCGCAGCACCGACATATACATATAGACATAACATACATATGCATATATATATATATATAGTTTCTTATTTATTTACTTATTTACTCATTTGTTTATCTATTTTTACTTATTTATTTACACATGTATGAATATACACACATTTAAACCTGTCTATCTACATATGTAGCAAACGTTGTATGTACTTACATGCCCGTTATTTTCACAATCAGTATTGTTCAAACATTCCTACTAGTATCTGCATGGCGTTATCTCTTTCCCCTGCAAGTTGCCCCCGCACTTCTCTCAGAGGCTGCTTTTGGCGCTGCCGCCGCAGCAGGGCGAAGGAGGTGTGAAAGAGGGCGGTCGTCCTCGTCGTCGTCGGCCTTCTCGTCCTCGGCCTTGTCGTTTGGCAGAGCTAAACTTATCTGAACGCACGGGCAAAATCAAATGAAAAACAAAAACGGACGATGATCTTGCGGACGTGTGGAAACGATGCACTTGCTTGAATATTCCACTTCGAAGAAGCTTTTGTGCGCATGGAAAAAGAATAATGCTCAACCTATTTGTGCTACGCGTGTATTGTAATAGGAAATATTAAATACGATGCAAGGAGAATTATAAGCAAGAGAACCCGAGGATGCGGTTGACATGCATGTACGCAATGATCCCCTACTCTTCCAGCCTCCACCTCGCGGGCGGAGCTTCTAATTTTAGCTTCACCTATAGATTGCTCCTTCGACGGATTTTTGCTTTCGCTGCCCTACCCCCCCCCGGCCGACAACCTTTATACTATAGTCTAGTGTGCTCTCGTCTCGTATAATAGCCTAGTCTAGTCTAGTTTTGTATAGTCTGACCAGCACACTCGCTCATCATCATCATCATCATCATCATCGTCGTCTAGGTCATTATCATCCCCAAAACATCCTCGTCATCATCACCACCCTCCTTCTCACCATCATCATCACCATCATCACCATCATTGTCGTCATAATAATAATAAAAACAATAATAATACTAATCATCATCATCTTCTTCTTCTTCTTCATCGTCAACATCATCGTGGTCATCGTCATCATCGTCATCGTCATCAACGTCGTCGGCATCATCATCTTCATCATCATCATCATCATCACCATCATCATCACCATCATCATCATCATCGCCATCATCATCATCGTCGTCGTCGTTGTCGTCGTCATCATCATCGCCGGCATCATCATCATCATCATCATCATCATCATCATCACCATCACCATCACCATCACCATCACCATCATCATCATCATCATCATCATTTCTCTTCTTTCATCCTCCTTCATCATCCTATCTCCGTCTTTTCTTTCGTTGCTCCGGCTTGCCCGTGAGATGCGGCATTTTTCCACCTTTTCTCCACGGTTTACTGCCCGTTCCAGGCAGAAGATCCCTGTGTGCATTCTGCAGAGAAGTTGTGCCCACTAAACCGTTTACAAACACAGCCTTATACTACAAAATGAAGCTTGAATCTGAACCAACCCCCCTTGCTACAAAATGGTTTGGGTGTTTTTATGATGGATCAAAAGCCAATGTCGGTCACTACAAAATGACTTTACGGAACCATTTTGTAGTGAAAACGGGTTGCAATGAAAAATAATGATTCGCTACTAAATGGGTCATAGTATTTACTAGGGGAAATGCTATGGGGCAGCAAAAACGATCTGAGCGCACAACTTCAGTTTCAATTGATTGGTTTTGAAACCAAATCTGTCCCATTTTTCCTTCTTAAAGTCTCTACATAAAAAACATGCTTTTCGAACTTTTTGGGGCTTATCTGGAGGGGGGCGCAGTAGGTTCTACAAAAGGTTGTGCACGCGTGTGTCACTACAAAATGCAGTGCATGACACAAGTCATCCAGAAACTAGGACATCACGCATCGAATCTGTGCTTTGTGACATTGTGGGTGAAAGGAACTCTGAGCATGGATTCGTTGAACTGGGGTGAAACTTGACTATTGGACAAAAGGAGCAGGAACCTAGTAGAATGGGATAGATTTAGATTTTAATTAATAATCGCATGTGATGGCCAAAAAAGGTGTGACAAAAGCACGGCGCAGAGGTTTTGAACTGCAATCGTCAGAGCTATGGGGCAGCAAAAACGATCTAAGCGCACAATTTCAAATTCAATTGAACGGTTTTGAACCAAATCTGTCTATCCTCGTTTGAATAAACCTAGTGTAGTTGGGTCCGTCTCTTTGTAGGTATGGAAAAGTTTCCCAAGCTAGCAGGCTACAAAATGCAGAGTCTCATGCAGAAAGTTAGATTGTCTCTTGCTACAAAATTAATATTCGTTTCTGAGGAAGCCTGAAGAATTCAAGATTCCAATTGCTACAAACAAGTTTCACTATATACACAAGTTCAATTACTACAAAATGACATTGCCACGATCCATCACGGCATAAATGCATGTTTACTACAAGCTTGAAATCCAAGATGCAACTTCTACAAAGAAGGAATACCAACTACAAATCATACAGCTCCAAAATGCTACAAAATGGGTTTTGGTTTTAACATAACTACGTATCAAAAATTAAAAAAAACTGTTACTACAAAATGACAATTGGATATGGTCCAAGTGCAGTTTGCTACAAAATGGCAACCGACCCCAATCTAAAAACCTCCAATTGACTAAAAACAGCAGGTTGTACTTATCACAAGTCCACCCATTCTGTAGTGGAAATTCGAACGGGGATATCTGTCTCATTTTTCCTCCTTAAAGTCTCTATATAAAAAGCATGCTTTTCGAACTTTTTGGGGCTTATCTGGAGGGGGGCGCAGAAGGTTCTACAAAAGGTTGTGCACGCGTGTGTCACTACAAAATGCAGTGCATGACAAAAGTCATCCAGAAACTAGGACATCACGTATCGAATCTGTGCTTTGTGACATTGTGGGTGAAAGGAACTCTGAGCATGGATTCGTTGAACTTGGGTGAAATTTGACTATTGGACAAAAAGAGCAGGAACCTAGTAGAATGGGATAGATTTAGATTTTAATTAATAATCGCATGTGATGGCCAAAAAAGGTGTGACAAAAGCACGGCGCAGAGGTTTTGAACTGCAATCGTCAGAGCTATGGGGCAGCAAAAACGATCTGAGCGCACAACTTCAGTTTCAATTGATTGGTTTTGAAACCAAGTCTGTCCCATTTTTCCGTCTTAAAGTCTCTACCTTATTTGTTGTTTTTCGATTTTTTGGGGGCTCATCTTACCACGAAATAATCGTGAGTCAAGAGCCAAAAATGGTCTGAGGGTCCAAGCTATATGTTCATGTGACCGAGCATGACTGGTAAAAGAGGGCTATAGGGTTTCCGGCACGACACAACGCATCCCAAAATAAATCACTACAAAATGCGTTTCCGATTTATGAGTGTAAAATGGAACGCCGCTACAAGATACAGTGCACACCCTTTTACTACAAAAACTGGTGCACGGGTCCATTTTTTTTGCTTGAATTATCCACGAATCAGAGGATGGTACCAAGCACGTGTTCACCCTTTTAGTAGTGGAAATGGTAAGGGGGATGGCAGAAGTACGTTCTAACCCGCCACTCTTGTGCCCAACACTTTCCATAAGCACCTGCAGCTCCTGCCCTTCCTCTGAACTCACGGCCTTCTCCGCATGCACTCTCACAGCCATGCCGCCTTGGATTTACCAACTACTACAATGTGGCTCAATACAGTGTTTTCTCGTAAAGTCACTTTACATCTCCATTGTCCAGGACGTCGTCCTCATCTTCATCTTCGCATTTTTTTCGCGAACACTCTTTTACGTCGACCACTTTTTGCTGAAACCAACTTTTGCACCGACCAGATTTTACACAAACCAACTTTTACACAACCTAGCTCTTACACACATCACCGCTTACACTAACCCGCGCTTATACCAACCAGCTTTTTCACAAACAAGCTTCTACCCAAACCTGGTTTTACCCGAACCACCTTTTGCACCAACTAACTTTTACAGCAACATTTTTTTACACCAACCAGCTCTTGTCTTTCTTTGTCCCGACCAGGTTCAGCCAAAAAATAACCCCGTGGCTGGCGGAATGCCGAAGGCTATTGAATATACACATTAATAACCCCAAGCGCTCCCCAGTACTGGTGAAACATAGCCACACCAAAATTCTGATCCAATTTTGGTGAAGAAAAATCAGAGGTTCGGTCACGGTCCGAATAAAGATAATAAAGTCCTTTGAACTACGGAATGTCCATTTCTGTTAATGTTTGGGATATTTCACCAGACTATCCAGCTTGCAAAACATGCTCCATGGGAGGGAGTCCGTTGTCCGTCCCACTCATAATGGCAACACTTAAGTCATCTTAAGTCGTCTTTCCCCTGTCCTCAACGGCGCTCTCGCCAATTTGGTTCGCGAGCAGGCTCAGCAGCAGCAAGATGATGCCGACCACTGTCGCAGCAAACATTACCTCCATCAAAAGTATCAAGGCTGACATGCGGTGGGGCCTCCCAGGCGTAAAATGATCTCTACTGAATTCCTCCAAATACCATCATTTTACCTCTGGCAGGGCCTTCAGTGCATTCCATTCCACCTGAATGTGGGGAATCTTCTGCTGCGCAAAAGATGAACCTCGTTGGACATGCAGCAAGAATGCCTTTCACCCGCACTCGAAAAGTGTTCTGTCTTGGCTCTCCAAGCCCCTGACTATCAGGATAGTTGCTAGGTCCAACCTGAGTAGTTGTTTCATGCGTTTCCGGTCCGGAAAGGTTGCCGTTGGCCAAAATCCCTATCTTTGTATTTTGGGGCCCCGCTTTGGCGGCCACCTGAGGTCGGAACAGTTTCACAGCCTTGGGAGTCCTCCAACTTTTGCCAAAAAAAAGATACTTCGGATTACTCATCTAATATGTCCCCCCAAACAAATGAGAAAAAACTTTGTCCCCATGAAAATTGAAAGGGAAATTCATTTCCATATCCTTCAGGGATCGACCTTCAAAGAATTGTCCACCTATAGACTTAAAAAATGACCACAAATGTTCCCACATCAAAAAGCATCACCCGAATCTTCTCCTCCTCACTGGAATGAGACTCCTGCCGCCGTCAGAAATGGGAGCCCCATTTCCAAACCCTGGTTTCATACTGGATCTACTATGACCTATTCATCTGACCGGACCCATATACAGGGTAGGATGGGATTCATCAGCCGTCTCCGCCCTATCCCCCTAGGACGAATGAAGCATGTCCTCCAGCTGCTGATGAGCTGTCATGCTCCTGCATCGCTGAATCACATTTTGATCGATGCGTTCGCCCATGGTTGGGTCAGATTGGGTCATTGCGCTCAAATGTGATCGAAATGAGATGGAAAAACAAAAATCAAGAATGCCAGTAGTACTGCACAAGGCGGTGGCGGAAGTTTCAGAATAGGAAACCTACAGGAGAGCTTGGTTGTTGGCAAAGCGAATCCACTGATGGACCGAAAGGTGGTTGGAGTTGTGTTTTTTGGAATGGCTGCAATGGTTGCAGTAGTCACCTCACCACAACTGTTGGATGTAGTGTCGTGTAGCGCAGTTGTAGTTGTAGCTGTATTGTGGTGTAGTGGAGTTCTAGTTGTAAGTTGTACTTGTAATGTGATGTAATTAGCGCAGTGTAGTTGAAGTTGCAGTTGCAGTTGTGGTGTGGTGTAATTTGTGTAGTGTGTTGTCGTGTATTTGTAGTGTACTGTAGTGTTGTGTACTGTAGTGTGGTATAGTGTAGTGTAGTCTAGTGTAGTGTAATGTAAAGTAGTGTAGTTGTAGTTGTAATGTGTTGTAATTAGCGTAGTGTGACGTAATGCAATGTAGTGGTAGTTGTAATTGTAGTTGTAGCTGTAGTGTAATGTAATGTAATATAATTAGTGTAGTGCAGTGTAGTGTTGTGTAATGTGGTGTAGTTGTAGCTGTATTTGTATTTGTAGTGTGCTGGAGTGTAGTTAGTGTAGCGTAATGTAGTGTAGTTGCAATTGTAGCTGTAGCAGCGGTAGTAGCAGTAGCAATAGCAGTAGCAGTAGCAGTAGTAGTAGTAGTAGTCGTCGTAGTAGTAGTAGTTGTTGTTGTTGTTGTTCTTCTTCTTCTTGTTGTTGTTCTTGTTCTTCTTCTTCTTGTTGTTGTTGCAGTTGCAGCAGCAGCAGCAGCAGGAGGAGGAGGAGTAGCAGTAGCAGTAGCAGTAGTAGCAGTAGCAGTAGTAGTAGTAGTAGTAGTAGTGGTGGTAGTAGTAGTACTGGCAATTAATGGTAGTGGTAGTGGCAGTTGCACTTGGAGTTGTAGCTCTATCGGTCTATCGGCTAATCGGTCTGTCTGTCTGCCTGCCTGGCTGCCTGCCTGCCTGTCTGTCTGTGTCTCTGTCTGCCTGCCTGCCTGCCTGCCTGCCTGCCTGCCTGTCTGTCTGTCTGTCTGTCTGTCTGTCTGTCTGCCTGTCTCTCTGCAAGCTTGAAAACGCAGCAATTCTGCGAGACTTCCTCATTTTTTGAATGTGACAACACCAAAAACGCAGCAATTCTACGAGACGTCCTCAAGTTTTGAACGTGGCAACGTCAAAAACGGAGCAATTCAGCGAGACTTCCTCAATTTTTGCATTTGACAACATCAAAATCAAAGCAATTCTGCGAGACTTCCTTTAAAAATGGACACTTGAGTGCAGAGCTGACGGCCTCGTACCAATGCGTTTTGCAATTTTTCCGGTCTATGTCTCTAAAGTATTGCGCCTGCCACGAAAAATTGATGCCAGGCCATGCGAAGTGATGCATCTGTCACGCAAAATCATCGTAGCAAACCTGAAGATCTGATGCTTGAAGGTGCAACCTCTCTCAGGAAATCAGCGGCCTGACCTCCTAACATCTCTGATGAACATGTCTCTTGTACTGCGCCTGCCACGCGAATTGCATCTTTGCAAATCCTCTGCAACTGTCCCACAGCTGCCATCGTTTTTGGAACTGCTACAGAACCCTCACGTTTTGCTCACTTTGGGCAAGGTGCAGAATCCCTTCCACCTGCCACGCAAAATCACATCTGAACCTTCAATTCAAAAGTGGTCCAAGCATGTTGTGCTTCTAACGTGCTTCGCGCCACAACGGCGTGCACTTTTTCGACATCTCAACTTTCAAAAGTGCTCTGAACGTGGTGTGCTTTGTACTTTTTGACTTGGAAATGTGCTTCGCGCCACAACGGCGTGCACTTTTTCGACATCTCAACTTCCAAAAATGCTCGAAGACCTTCAGTTTTTAACACTTTTGGCTTTGAAATGTGCTTCGCGCCACAACGGCGTGCACTTTTTCGACTTCTCAACTTCCAAAAGTGGTCCGGACCTGGTGTGCTTTGTACATTTTGACTTTGAAGTGTGCTTCGCGCCACAACGGCGTGCAATTTTTCATCTCTCATCCGGCCAGATGGCTCTGCACCCGCCGCTTTAGCGAGCCTACTTTTCGACCCTCTGGAGCCACAAATCATTGGAAAAGCACAGTGAATCGCGACTTTTACCTTTTCGCGCACCTGCATCTTCTTTCTTCAGACTCTTTCTCTTCTCTGATTTTCTTTCTACTGGCTCTTTCTCTTCTCTGACTCTTCCCACCTCTGCTTTTTCATCTGTCCATATTGTCGGAAGTTTGACTTCTAAACTTCCTTCGAACATTACTACAGTATATCTCTGGAGGCAGATATCAAAAATGCGACTGTTCTGGAGAATATCAACTCTCGATTTCTCAATATTCGACTGTTGTTCTGGAGGCAGATACTTAAAAAACGTCCATTCTCCTGGACGTCTCCGAAACGTGGGATCGTTCGGCCTCAAGGATGAGCAAAAAGGGTCACCACGATCCAAGATTGATGATTACAGGATCCACATGCGTTCAACGTAATGTGGGGATATGTGGGGTTCTCTCAAAATTTCAGGGAAAACCCACAAGTGATCCCAAATCAAATGGTTTATCATGGTTTATCATCATATTTTCCCTACTAAAATGATCTAAAATGTCTATCTGAGGGTATACCGTATACCCCATTTTCAGACACACCCATGTGGCAACGCAGGGGACACCCATTTTCACTCAGTTTCTGGCGTCGATCAAGGACAAATCTCCGGCGGTGGGGTGTGGATTCACAAAGTCCCTAACTTGCCTCGGCTCACCTCCCGGGTGCGCAAAATCATAGCCTGACATGCGACTGGTGGTCGTCTGGCTCCTGGCCAAACATGGGACACCAGGTTTGATAGGAAAATCATGGGAAAATGATGATTAATCAATATAGACCATGGATGACCATGGCATTTTATGAGGTACCTGAGAAATTCAGAATGCAAGAATACACAAGACTTGAAGTCGCACTAAAAGAAACTGAAAGCCACACCAACTGCCCATAACTGCCCCAACTCATTATAGTGTTGCACTGCTCCTGAGAATATTCTGATGGCTATGGTCTTCCTCATCTTTGCACTCCGACTCCGCCTGACAGCCCATGCAGGGTGCCCCTTAACGAGGGGAAGCATCCTGGGAATTATAGTAGGACGCCTTGGTTTTTCGCCCCAATTATAGGAGCTTAATGAAAATTCTCCAATTTTTTCCAGTTCTGGAAGTCAAACGACAATGAAAAATATGAAAAGGCACTCCTATGAACATTGAATCAGTGACCTTCAGCTTCCACTGCTCCAGAACCACTTCAGCACCTCAGAAAACTGACTATCTCTATCATCTCTTGCATCATGAGGTGTGATTTTTTCCCCACCTGCCAGGTGAGGGTTGTTAGATTTTGTCAGAGCGCTCTTCCTCCGCGTCCTCGTCCTCCTCCTCGTCCTCCTCCTCCTCCTCGACTAGCTGTCCTCTTCCTCCTCGTCCTCCTCCTCGCCTCCTCCTCCAGTTTCTCCTCGACCATGTCTGCATCACCTGCACTTCCGCCTTGCCAACTCTTCGCCCATCTCTTTGCCAACTCTCTTCGCCAAGCTCTTTGCCAACTTCCCAGCTCAGTGTGCACTGCTGGACCTCAACCTGGGACCGCCCCAGCTCAGTGTGCACCGCTGGACCTCAACCTGGGACCTTCCCAGCTCAGTGTGCACCGCTGGACCTCAACCTGGGACCTGCCCAGCTCAGTGTGCACCGCTGGACCTCAACCTGGGACCTGCCCAGCTCAGTGTGCACCGCTGGACCTCAACCGGGGACCCTCCCAGCTCAGTGTGCACCGCTGGACCTCAACCTGGGACCTGCCCAGCTCAGTGTGCACCGCTGGACCTCAACGGCCAGATGGAATGCCAGAAGATATGCCAGATAGAATGCCAGAAGATTTGCCAGATAGAATTCCAGAAGATATCCCAAAACATATGCCAGAAGATATGCCAGATAATGCCAGAAGATATGCCAGATAAAATGCCATGAGATATGCCAGATAGAATGTCAGAAGATATGTCAGAATATATGCCAGAAGATATGCCAGATAGAATGCCAGATAGAATGCCAGAAGATATGCCAGAACATATGCCAGAAGATATGCCAGAACATATGCCAGAAGATATGCCAGATAGAATGCCAGAAAGAATGCCAGAAGATATGTCAGAATATATGCCAGAAGCTATGCCAGATAGAATGCCAGATAGAATGCCAGAAGATATGTCAGATAGAATTCCAGAAGATATGCCAGATAGAATGCCAGAAGATTTGCCAGATAGAATGCCAGAAGATATGCCAGAAGATATGCCAGATAGAATGCTAGATAGAATGCCAGAAGATATGTCAGAATATATGCCAGAAGATATGCCAGATAGAATGCCCGAAGATATGTCAGATAGAACGCCAGAAGATATGCCAGATAGAATGCCAGAAGATTTGCCAGATAGAATGCCAGAAGATATGCCAGAACATATGCCAGAAGATATGCCAGATAGAATGCCAGATAGAATGCCAGAAGGTATGTCAGATAGAATGCCAGAAGATTTGTCAGTAAGAAAATGTATAAATGTCATGGTGGGGATCACACGAAGTAAAGTAATTCTGTACGCAGTGCCAAGTTTGCAAGTCTGCAAGACGTCCCTGATACATTATGTAATAATTGATATTCATTTATCCTAATATTTATCCTATATAACAATATATTATATACCTAACCTAACATAATGACAATATCACAAGAGGCTCCCAACTCACTGAAAGTTGCACGGTTGTCTTTGGGCAACCAGCAATACGACCGGCCACTGAGAAGCCAACGGTCCGGGTAGAATTCGCTCAACAGGTGCGCCTAAGCAAGGTGTGGGACGGGGAGTCCGAAGTCATTGGAGGTAAAGTCAATAATAAACCATCCCCAATTATTGGACTTATAGTGGATTTATAGTGGATTTATAGTGGATTTATAGTGGATTTATAGTGGATTTACCCATTGAAAATGATGATTTATTGGACAATTACCCTCTGGTCATTTAACATAGCCATGGACAATCACCATCTTTAAGTTCGGTAAACCATCTATTTCGATTAGGGCCATCTATACCATGGCTATGTTAAATAACCAGAGGGTATATCATTCGGAAACCCATTTTTATTGGGAAAGCCCAAGTCATGGTGGTAACCCCCAGTCATCCATTTGATTAGACTAGTCGAGTATTAAAACCTATGTTTGGGGTACCCCTTTTCGGAAACCCAAAAATATCGCCAAAGCATGGCCATGGATGGCCATTGTATACCCCGATTTAGGGATTCCAGATGACCCTTGTTTCATGGGATGGTTTTATTATTGGAGTTACCACATTCTGCCGTTCTTTAATGGACAACCCATCTTGCACCTTGAAAACATCGATAACCATTGCGAGCGCGGGCAATGTGATGACGCAAATCCTTGGCAAACCAAACTCGCTAAACTCCGTTGCAATTTGAAATGTGGGCTTGTCTGAAAATGGGGTACCCCCAATTTGATCGTTGATTCTCATTTCATTCATAAAAGACTGCCGTCAAGTGGGGTAGTATCCCTATTTTCAGACAAAGCCAAAGCCATGTAAATCCAGACAGTGCCATCCAGGCTCCAAAGGTGAGGGCTGGTGGCCATTGTGTTGGGCACTTTGTACATCCAAGGCTGGAAATGCTGCGTCATCCACTCCACGTTGCAGTACAGCAGCAGAAAGAGCCTACGCGCTGCCACTGTGATCCCGAAATATCCCAAAGAAAAAGTTGACCAATTTGGTTGGTTCCGAATTGTGCATAGCAGATCTATTTTGAGTGATGAAATCTGGCCTTGATTTGACTTGATTTGGTCAGAACGCCCATGCCCATCTAACAATGCTGGATGCTGCTGGGAGGCAAGTAAAGGAAGAAGGAACAAGCTTGTCCTGCAAGTGTTACCCAGTTCCAGGTCCTGCGACGGGGTGCGAAGCAAGAAAAACAAAGCAAAGCCAAGGGCTCTGAAGGCCCCTTGCCGCTAAGCGATTCTGCTAGCGTTGACATGTTTTTACGCTAAAATGTTGACATTTCAGTCTGGTCCTGTCTGGTCCTATCTGGTCCTATCTGGTCCTATCTGGTCACCAGTCTGGTCCTTGTTACAAAAGCTGCCCTGTAGTTCATGGAGACCAAAAGAACAGAAAATACCTTAACTTCAAAGGCCGGGGCCAGGAGGGCCCAGGACATGATTTGAACTTCAGATGATATACAAATATTCATATGATTGGGATACATACATTGACATACATCAAGGTAATGCCTGATTGAGATGTGGGTCAATCTGTTTCGACAAAGAACTTCAGACGCGGCAAATATCAATGCCTCACGTTCGCCAAGTGGCTGTTGTTCCAAAGGTGTAGTAATCACCAGCGTGAAGGATGGACATGTCATGGTAAACCATTAACATGACCTCAGAAGCGGCATGTTAGTAGCCATCATTCTCACCATCAAATCCATCAAGGACTTCACCATGTGGATCACTCTGACCCCATATCGGGCCCCCTTTAAGAGAGCCTCTCAGCCTCCCCGCAAAGCCAATGACGCAGGAATGAACGGCCGCCGAAAGAAGCATCTCGATCTGCAGGTGGCTGAGGGCGCAGAAAAGCGGTCAGATGCGGTCAGCAACAAAAATGGGGGAAGTCCATGGGAATTCCATGGGAATTCCATGAGACATCTTCAAAATGGTTCCATGATGTTCCATGGATTCGAAAAACTGAGTGCCCAACCAGTTTCGTGGCATTCAGATCCGAGCCTCTCGTGTCTTCAGGCCCAAGAAAAATCATCATTAAATCGGGTGTGAAAACACAATCTGGAATGGAACGGAGGAAGAGACGTCCCATAAATATCACATCAACAATCAAGAATCGCTGTATATCCCCTTAATATCCCTTAATTATCTTACGTATATTATATAATTCCAATTAAAATCCATGAATCACATCACATCGAGCCCATCAGCCTTCGCGGCCGCTTACATACAAGCGAGGGTCAGCCATGGCTTGTTCTTCCGTGACATCCTGCGGGGCTCGAATTGAAATTCAGACTGCTGGCCGTGAGCTATGCAAGTTCCTGATCGAAAACACCCGTGGTGATGATGGGTGCGGCCAGCACGAAGTTGTAGGAAGCACGGACCTTAAATGATAGTGTAATATTGTTGGCATCTACGAAATGTGATCTAGTCATTTGCGACTACCACAAAGAACCTCATCATCTTTCACCTATCTTCAAGAATCCCAAAGTCAGCCGAGAAGCCATATCCTCAAAGAGACTTTGACCTTCACAAGATGCGAAAATGTGCACAAAATTCCAAGGTGTATATGTAAAATCGGAAGCCGCCTGCATATCCAGAGACAAAGGTGTAGTAGAACATCAACAAGACCTTGAGTCATCTTGAGTCTCCAGAATCTCCAGAGTTTTGGGGCGCGGCGGCGCGGATGCCATGATGGCGACACTAAGACTCCAACCAGCCTCAGCAGTGTGGGGCTGGTGACGCGTCAAACACTGGGGAAAAACTCTGCAGCCGCGGGGCACAGCGTTCTTCCAAAAGCTGTAGATCACAAACTTGCCTCAGGTCGAGTGTCAAAGGTGAGCGAAGCTGTTTCCAACCCTTTATTGAATACTATCTTGGTTCATTGGGATCATAATCTGAGGTTGTATGAAAATAAAAGCAATGGGATGTGTCTGAAAAGTAGCCCAATAATCCATGGTTCATCATAGTTGTCCCATTAAATGGCCATTTGGCTGGTTTTCACCATGTTCAGACACACCCATATTCATATGACACAAGATGCAACAGCATCAAGCAGGTCTGGGACCCATGTCATGGATTTCTGCTGAGCAAAGAGCATGCACGTCGGTAGTTCCACCGTCCATGTACAAGCATGAGCCGGGCCAAATACCTCGGGATTGCCGTTGGCATTGCTAGGCAACCCATGGCCCTGAGTTGGGAAGAAGTGGTTGATGGCGATCCATGAGTAGTTGTTCCCAGCTTACATCCCATTGTTTTATCTGGTTTATCTGTTGATTTTTATCTTGATAGCGTCAAAACTATAGTACATATACCAGATCATACATGATCATACCAAAATCACGCAATGCAACACATCTTGCAACATATCTGTAGCAGTCAGCATGCCAACCAGGGATCATTTTACATCATTTTACCAGTTTGGCTGGCAACAAGGAACCAAGTGACTGAAGGTCGAATTTGTTCAGCCCAACACGCACCATACAACCATCAAACCATCCCATTTTGGGGGGTACCTTCAATTACCCTCTGGTAATTTAAGGGTAAATCCACTATAAATGGCCATTTTCAATAGCTATGTTAAATTACGAGAGGGTACAGTGGAAATCCATCGAAAATCCCTATCTTTTCAATGAAAAAAAACAAAAAAGGCGGATGTTGCCTGGCTCCTTCCAGGGACGGTTGGGACCCCCGGCCGGAACTGCGAGATGGCAAAGTCCGCGGAGTTCACCGCTTGCCTACCCTCTCTGCCAGAGATGCCAACACCAACCTGCAGCGATGCCATGAGTTGCGACGATCTCGCCGTAACTGGAAGATTCCCCAAAAAAAACGGGGGATTACTTGGTGGTCTTGGTGTTTCATCCCAGTTAGTAAGTGTGTCCAAAAGTTAAGAATGGTTATATAGTTCACCCAGGTAAAAACTAGCCGATCACCCTACTGACCTTATTTTTTCAATGAGGAATCCACTTACCAACTGTGGTGAACCACCTACTAGACATCCTACACAACCAAACATGGTTTGCTGGAAAATTCCCTTTTTACTTCGATGTTTTCCGTGCTCAATGCCCATTTACTTCAGGGATTTCCCATTTAAAGTACCATGTTTCATAGGTAAAACCCATCAAAGCACTAGGAAATCATCTAAAATGGGGACATATCTCCACCAGTTGCAGCGCTCACCTGAGCTTCCTGGAGCATGGGAACGTCATTGGCGCCATCACCAATGGCCAAGGTCACCGGGGAGGGCGAAATACCCTTCCTCCAACGAGATGATTTCTGCGGCATGCTGCGGCCATGGCCATAGCATGAAGTTTACCCTCTGGTGAACTAACATAGCTATTGAAAATGGCCATTTATAGTGGATTTACCCATTAAAAATGGGGATTTTCCATAGCTATGTTAAATTACCAGAGGGTAGTGTATTGAACTTTAGCCAGTGTTTAGTATCTGATGTTGGATATCTTTTGATGTACATGTGATGAAAAATGTCTCTATAATTCTGTATTTCGGAGTTTCCACAAGATTCCGCATTCGCGTCCTGACCAGCGTCACCATTTCAGATTTCTGCAGTGGTGAGACCTAGGCATTTTTATGGCCGGAGTCCCGAAAGCTTCGCCGGACAACTGGGCTCAGGTGGCGGCCCGACAGGCGATGACCACCGAGCATACCACGGCCACCTTTGGAAGTTCAGCAGCTTCCGGGACAGAAAAATGGTGGAAAAATTGCGGAAAATGACTCAAAAATATGGATACAGTAGACAATGATAGAACATGAATAAATCATGAAGCTGTTCATATAACTTCAATGGGGTTACCGTAGTTGGATGATTCACAATGAGGATGTAGATGGGAAAATCATTCATGGGGAAGCAATGATTCAATGGATTGATCGGTATGGCTTCTGGTAGGCGTCCCGTGAACCAACGAGGGGTGATCGGTATATCATGGTATATCGGTATAGCAATGATGACCCCATCCTGTAAACCCAGATTCAAAGGGGGATACTGCCAACAGATATATCATGGAGGTTAAACTAGGATTAAGATGGATCAAAATAATGGCGCTTGGTATTGACCCATTGAGCATACGAACGGGGATTTTTTAGTCAACACCCATGGGGGCGTAAAACAAGTAACAACGTGTAGCACATGTATGTTGAATAATGATGGATGGCATATGATAGTCCCCCAGAACCCTGTGTAAACATGAAACACCAGGGCGTTTGGCCACTATTCGTAGATACGCAAAGCCTGTTCAAAGCCTGTTCGTTTCTCTATTTTGTTGGCTGACAAAAATCATGTTGGGCGATGAACCATTTCTATCTACAAAAAGAAATTCCTTGATCATACTTGATCCGTGTTCATAGGTGATAGATTGTGATCGCATTGGAAATGCCTGCTCTTTCCATCTCTTTCCACTAAAATAAGCCATGACATCATATGAAGGTTTCCTAAAATAGGGATACCTCTAAATCATCCATTTATAGATGGGATGTTCCATGAAATAAACCATCTAGCTATTGAGGTAGCCCCATTTGTAGGAAACCTCCATATCAAATCCACCATCGCTCCAGTTGATAACCCCAGCCTCCAAAAAGAGATCTTGGTATCTGCCCTTGGACAGCAGTTTTTGGGGGCTCAAACTCCTGGCGGATCGCCGGCGGTTCCTTGACATATCCCGGCGCCAAGGATTTTGATTGATATGATGATGCTATGATACTATGTGTTTTCATGTGTTTTCAATCGTTTTGACATATTGAATTGATCTGACCTGTGGTTTTTTTATTAGGACCCATGGCCATCATTGATGTCATGAGTGCACCCCGCCTTTCGCTGCTGTTCTCCGAGGATTTCTCCCGTCGCATGATCTCCTGATGTGTCAATGGCTGGGCCCGCTGGGCCCAGGGCCCAAGTCACTGGAAGGTCCTCCAGAGCATGGCCCGTCACGATGAGGGCCACGGTCACCCCATTGTTGGTGGCCTGAAGTCTGTCCCAATCACTTTGCGCATTGCTTTGCATAGAAACCTGAACTTGAAACATCTTGAAACGTTAGATGTCTATGTCCATGTACAGAAAATTGTCTCAGTTGTCCTTTATGTTTGAAAGTAGCGCCAATTCTCTGAAAAGAATGCGATACTCCTTTTAAAGAAACCCAATAACCTTTTATTTTTTGGAAAGGAACACCACTGAATTGAAGGAAATCTTTCACTCACCAAAAGAAGAAAATTGCACATCCCCAAAGAATACTGCGCGTGATTATCATATTTCCACCTTCGCTAAAGTAATGGTTTCTACAGGATGCATTTGATAAATACATGATGCCTTAGAAGCAAGATGATTCAGAACTGGTTTGGATTAATCTGGATAAATCCTAAGGATCAAAACATCGGAAAAAGCAAAAAAAACAAGAAACCACAAAAAAAAATGAACCTTGGATCTAGCCATGTTCAGACTGTATTTCCACTAGAAAAGGCTTGTGCGTGGACAACAAAAAAAATACTTCAGATCATGTAATATATTTACAACATGAACAATCTATACAAACAACTGGTAGTTTCGGCGCTGGCAACAAGTCTTTCTGAAAAAGGAGTCAGCCGCGCCTGCAAAGCATTCATCCGCAACGTTTCTATGTCGTCCTGAACAAATAGGACATGCTGCGCCAGAGTAACTCACATTGTGTCAATCCGGTCCTTGAAAGCTTTCCGGTCCGCAACGTCTAGGGTGAGGATTTCCATGCTCGAACCTCAGCCCCACAACTTGCCCACAACTGTGGAAAATTCCTCAGGTCTCAACGTCTGTGGCTTTAGTGAAACAGTTCCACGTCCCAGCGGCTGAGAACGCGTGTGCTGAAGCCGATGTTTTTGGCAGTTTCCAACTTGTCCTTAGAAAGAGCTGAAAAAGGAAGTGCATATTCAACATGTCAAGACATGGGCAAAGTGGTTCAAAATGGATTTGAGACAAACCAACCCAGCACCAATTCGCATGGTTTCTCATAGTTTTGATTTGTCTGCAAATATGGAGAAAAAAGAACAAAACAAAATCCAGTAGCAAATCCTGTCATCTTTTTTCCTTGTCAGATTGGGGTAGAGCTCGTTTCTGGACAAACCCCCCAGCTCCATCCCCATCTGCAAATATCCCCACTCATCGTCACTTTCTCACCATAAAGTGGGTGGGTTTTATACCTCATTTGGGTTTGTTTGAAAATATGCTGCCAAAAAAAAAAGTACCAAAATCATCCAAAATCCCATTCTGTTGATCATCATTTTCCCATTTTCCCCATGAAATAGTGCTATAGTTGGGATTAATTATAGGGGTATTCACCATTTCCAGACCCAGAAATCTGGACGAAGCTAGCCAAGTCTCCCCAGTGAGGACCCAAAGCTTGATGCCTGCCTGGAGCACAAAAAATTCGGGTACCAATGGACCCAAATGTTTCTGGGAAAAAAATGGAAAAATGGGGGTTTCAGGGCGTATATGTTTGTATGTTGCTTGTTATGATTTTGTGTTGGGGTTCAATGTTTCATCTTCGCCTTTGATGTTTTTTCAGGTGGGGTTTTGGGGGTAATTTTGTTGCTAAAGTGATGTGTCAATGTTTGGATTGAAGGGGGGTAGGATTTGTTTAGGCTGTTGGGGTTTTTGTTTGTGTTTGGGTGGGTGATTACTTCATAATATGTGTTGTTAAGATATTATGAATTAATCATTTATGCTTTCCACTTTCTTATTCCATCCCACCAGTGTTCAATCACTCTCATTTGTGTTAAGCAAGGTTTGTTTGTATCATTTAGTTCATCCATTGCTATTGATAAAAGCGTTAGGTTGATAATCATTGCGTTGAATTCACCATCTCGGTTGAGTTCCTTTCCACAATCAATGATGACTTTTTTATCAGTGAGGTTTTCATACATCTTTTTCATTATATCAAATCTTACGAATGAATATATTATCATTCCATTTACTCCTTCTGCTTCTTTCATCCTATCAATTCCTTTCTTCCAAAACTTTTCTCCTTCCTCATCATCTGGTGAAGGCATAGGATGGCACTTTACAAAGTCTCTAATCTCTTCATCTTCTTTTTCTATTTGTTTTCTTTCCCAATCATCGTCCTCACTATCACTACCAAAGTCAGCATATATACCAATATTCCCTGTATCTATAACCTCAATTTTTGCTCTACTCATTTTCTCTTACTATATATAGATATTTTTTCTTTAAGTATTTATCACTTTTTGTAGGTGCTCTTTTATTTCTTCTATGTTCAAATATTTCTCATAACCGTTGAACAGTTCTTCAACATATTCACGCAAGAAAATTTCCAAAATGTTTTTATCTTGAACTCCCTGTTTCTAAACATAAAAGTTCGTTCAACATTAGGAAACCACCAGCATCTTCGTTGCTTACTGTAATTGATGAAATTAAGGTCGTGAAAGTTCTTTAGAATATGATAAGTGTATTTCCAATGGTTTTTGACATAAGACTTAATCGCTTGAAGATATATCTTATCCTTTTGAAATTCTACCTTCAGTTTATAGGTGTCCAATAAAGCATCTATTTCTCTCTTCATTACTCTTAAATTTGTTCGGTCGGTGTTGGATAAATAGATAGGTGAGTTTTTCCATCCTTGTTTTAAAGAAATGTATTTGTTTTTCAACTCTTGTTAGTTCTTTCTCTTCAAAATGGTCGAAATGATAGTTGAATGTTATATATCTGCGTTCCTTATCATTCAACTCTTTACATTTTGAACAGTGAAGGTTGTAATCACATATCTCATCACAAATTCCAGCAGGAAAAATGTTGTTCAATAAAACCTTAATGTCAGTCATTTCTTTTTTACAACATCCACAGTTTTTATAAGTAAATAGCATCCTCTTACTGTATATAGTCATTTTTTCTTTAAGTAGTTTTTGGGGGCTCGTTCAGTTTTCGGGTTCGGGTTGGTTTTTATTTTCCCTTTCCTCCTCTTCCAGTTCTCTTATGACCATATCTATTTCACTCATTCCTTCGTTGGGGTCTTGTCCATTGGCGAGGTTTCTTAACCTCTCAAAATCCTTCACTTTGTGTCTTTCATTGGGTGGGAGGGTTTTGAGATGTTCCTTCAACTCTGTCAGGTCAAAGTATGTGTCTTCCTCCTCATCCTCATTTTCCAAAAACATTTCCATTCTTTGCTTTTCCATCTCCATAAGTTTGTTTTCCATATATTGGAATTTCATTTGCTTCTTGTAGCACTTGCCACACACATTCACGAAGGTTTTGAGCAAGTAGTTCCAATTAGGTTGGTTTCTATCGTTCAGGGTTATAACATCTGTCATTATACGACATCCACAGTCAAATTTAGTCATCTTATTTAGTCTTACTATATATAGGTATTTTTTCTTTAAGTATATTTTTTATTGTTGATAATTTTAAAAATCTAATATTATAATATATGGCAAGGAGACTATCAAGAGATGACATCATAAGCAATGTCTATTATAATCTTGAAACGGGCTTCGGTTCAATCAATGAGACCCTTAAGAAAGCCAAGGAGCAAGACCAGACCATCAACAGGGTGGATGTGGAAAACTTTATGAGGAAACAGCCCAACAAACAGATTAGAAAATACAGGGGGTCAAACTCCTACACCGCACCCTTCGCAAGGTTTGAATATCAGATTGACATAATGGATATGAAACCCCTTACCAAAGAACCAGAGACGAAAATTCCCATCAAGAACGATGAACCGAGATATGGGTTGGTGGTCATTGACATCTTCAGCAAGTTGGCAAACGTCGTCCCTATGAAAGAAAAATCCGGACCAATCACATTGTCGGCGATGAAAGAGAGTTTCAACAAAATGGGTTTTCCAATGTCCGTTTATAGTGATACTGACCGTGCCTTCCAAGCAGGGGTAAAAGAGTTCTTTGAGAAAGAAGGCATCACTCACGTCGTCACCCTAACTCACGCCAATGTTGTGGAGCGTTTCATAAGGACAATGAAGAATATGATACACGACAGGGTGAGGTTTAATCGCGGTAGTTGGACTGTAATGTTGTCCAAAGCGTTAGATAAATACAACGACACCGTCCATTCATCCACCAAAATGAAACCCAAGGATGCCCACGACGACAAGAACCATATGGACGTCAGGGTGAATTTGACAAGGAGGGAAAAGAACACTCGCAAATATCCAGAGGTCAAAGTGAATGATATGGTCAAGGTCTTTGAGAAGAAAAAAGACAACTACACCGAGAGGAAGGAGTATAACTCAAAATGGAGCAATCAATCCTACAAAATTGTCAAGATAGAATACGATGATGTCGGAAACAGAACCTTCAAACTGGAAGGATTGAACAAACCGTATTTGAGGCACGAGATTTTGAAAGTATAAAAAATTATCTATAATATTAATATATGACAGAGGTAGTCGTAAAAGAGATTGATAATGAAGAACCCAAGGAAGAAACAATACCAGAACCAATACAGGAAGAAGCACGGCAAAGCCCTGCTTCCTATCGGGAAGCACCGAAAGAAGAGGAGAAACCAGAAGAAACAATTGAACCACCCGTTGAAAAGAAACCGCAACCAGCGCCAAAGCCCAAAAGGGTAAGACCGTCAAGGGCGAAACCACCTTTTGACCCAGAAGCATTCAAAAACGACCTTGTAAAGCAACTGAAGGAAGAACTACAGAGTGCAATGACCGCCAGAGACACCTACAACAAAGCCAAAGAGGAAAAGAACAAAGCGACGAGAGAGAAATTGAAATCTTTAGCATCAAAAATTTTATAAAGTATTATATATAAAAATGAACATCAAGGAACAGAAAACGGAACTCAACAAAACTGACATCTACGAAAACGTCCGCAAGGACATCAACAGAAGACAAACCGTCCATTCAAACAAAAGTGCCAACTACAGGAGCGGAACGCCCGAAATGCCAGACAGAAGAAAAAAAGTGTATAGTAGTTATGACCACTACTACCACAACGACAGCAACACGGCAAGGATGCCAACTCACAACCATCATCTTTACCTAAAGCGTCTTCTTGAATATCACAACACCGAGCACGACTACAAGGTCTTACAAGTAAAGCAGAGGATGAAGGAAGAGAATGAGATGCTACAGAACGAAATGACAAGGTTGAGGGAGGTGAGGAAAAATCACAGATTGGAAGATTACGGGGCGAACGTCCAGAATATGAAACAGAGAATTGATGAGTATAAGCAGTGGTTGAGAGGCGATACACAAGATTAATATAAAAATCTAAAGTATTAATATATAGCAATGACAGCAGAAGTAATCAACGCAAAACAGGGATTGACACGAATACCCACTTACGCAGAACTCATCAAGGAAATAGACAGGGAAAAGTTCAAAACCAATGACATCAGAAAAATCTTTGATAGGAACGCTTGGTATTTTCACGAAAGTCCGCAGGGTCAAGCACTGAACACAAACAACATCCACCCAGCAGACTTACAGCAAATGAACTTCAAAAAGATGGCAGAGGAAGCGACCGCAAGGAAGGAAGAAGAAACACCCAACCTTGACTTTGAAGATATGACCGACTTGAGGGACGACGCCATCAGCGACTTTGAGATGTCCTTTGACAGAGAGGCAGAGTTGAGGGAAGAGAACGAAAGGAGAGTAGCAGAACAAGCAAATTTAAGTCATTCACAAGACCACTATATGGCAAACAAAGGGGCATACGACGCCGTCGGAGCAACAGCATCGGCAGGGATACAAGAAGACGAAGAACCGCCTTCAAGCAGTAGAAGCATCTTAAAGAACTTCCTTAAATCATCCAAACCAGTCATCAAAGCAGTCGCCACAGCAGGAGGAACAGCAAAGGGAGGGTCAATAGGAGGACTAATAGCATCAAAACTGACAGACACCATCATACCCGA